TCTTTTTCTGTCAATCTTCTAACCGTTTTCATCAACAGGATGTATGTACCCATCAGTCACCATACCCCAGAGATCAGCGTCATGAGCCAGAAAGAAACTTTCGATTCTGTCTTTCTAGTAATAAAAGTTCTCTCCATCAAAGATTGGAGGTTTGCCGCTGATTCTGTTTTTCTCATCATGGTAGTCATTGCTGATGTTCTAACTTGGTCCCACCATAGTATTTTTCTTAGCTTAGATCTTTTTTCTGACACGGTTAAGTGCTTGTACTCAGAACCAGACGCTCTGATGCCAATTGAATAATGGAAAAACACAAGAAATGGGGGTTTGAATTGGGATTTTTAAAACTTAAAGAAAAGAAAACGTTGGTTATCTTGGTTCGTTTGAATTGTAACTACTTTAGTACACCCGCCAAGGTGATTTCGCCTCGCTCAATGAGGTCTTAATCCACTAATCAATCTTGATTACAAAACTACTATGACAACCGTCAAAGTCTTCTTGAGTATAAACCATAAGCCGATTTTCTCAAGAATTTCTCTAAACAATATTTGAATAAAAGTGTACAAGAATATTTTCTAATAAAACAGTATCACAAGTGATGTTTTACACAGTTTGAATTTTGAATGTTTGAGGATGAAAAAGATAGCTTCGTTACTGGGCGTGAAAAATCGTAAATGATTTATCCTTCAAACTTTGTTTAAATAGGCGAAGCATGTAGGAGCTTTTGGAATGTTGATAAATGATAATTAAAGAGCTTTCCAAAAATAAAGATCCTTGTTCCCTTCCAGCCATTACTTTTGAAATGGTAATAATTGATTTGTAACGCTTCAGAATATGCTTGCTTCAGAAGATGAAAGTATCTGTTTCTTCTTTCCAGAGATTTGTATATCAGAAACACAGAGTCCTGTTTGCAGCATTAGAACTTCTTAAGAGATATTTATAATCAGAGTTGAAACAACTTTTTAACTCATCTTCTGATCTTCTTCCATCAGAACTTCTCTGCAAAATAAAATATAAATTTAGAGAGCATAATTGTTCTTTGTGTTTGTTATCATCAAAACTCTTACAAGGGTTGTAGAATCAAACTATGTTCTAACAGCTACAACTCAGAGTGATGCTTCATTGTTTGGGGATGTTATTGATGAAATAATGTCAAGTCTTCTTGACATTAATCCAAGTGTACAAACAACAACAATAATTTTCTCAACAAATACCACAAGGAAAGGCAAGACAAAGATCAAAGAAGAAGCTAAATTTATGAGGAAGAGGTCAAGTGAGAGAATAAAGATTAATTGGTTTAAAAAACCAAAACCATTCTCAGGTGCTGGTTCTAACCCAGAGCAACCAATATACTTGAGTGAAGAAGAAGAAGACAATGGCTCCCAACTTAAAATGAAGGTTCCAAAGAAGGAAACTAAAAATAAATCAGTTTATAACCTTTAGTTTATATGTGTAATGACAGTTATTATGTTTTAGTGTTATTTTGTAAGGAATTATCCAAACTTTTGGTATGCTATTTTGGAATGATGCACACTTTTGGTGCTCTTTGTAATGAATCAATTATCCACCCTTTTAGTGCTCTTTTGTATTATCTGACTTATGCATACTTTTTGTGCTTTTATCAAATGCTTAATGCAACTTTCCATATTATTATTAAATGAGTAACACAACATGTTTGACAGAAACTTAAACCTTTTCATTAATATGAAGAATTTTCAAAATACATGATTTTGCTAACATTGTTCAAAAACCAGAAAATTACAATTATCCTAAGATTACGTTGAGTTATAAAATACAACAATAATTAAATAACACATAACAATTGCCACCTTGAGCTTCATATTAAAATTTCTCTGATCTACAACCTTCATCTTTCTCCAATTTATTTGTTATTGTTTCTAACTTCACTACTAGAATCTCACACTTATTACAAAATGGTTGATTTGCACTCTTCTGTTTCATATAGTCTCCAATTTCATCATCCCATAAGAATAATTCATAGTTATTCACATTCTACAAAATAAAATTTACACATCTCTTAACATGAGTAGAAATCAGATTTTGCCACTAAATCCACAAACATTCTTACCCTAGAACTGCGACATTTCCAGAACTTTCTATTGCGCTTTTGAACCGTGTTGGAGACCCACGTCTTCATTGCTCGATCACAATCACACCTAGGTAAACATGGGAATCCAACGAAATTATCATTGCATCCAAAGGAATTGCTTCCAACCATGATTCCAATTGAAAGGATGGAGTATGAACACAGAAGAAGCAGATGAATGGAGCAACATGGGCGAAGAAGCAGAAGAATGGAACAGAAATGGAAGAAGAAAACGATGGAAGGTGCAACACAGGCGAAGAAGAAGAAGAATGGTAAAACCTAGAACAAGGGGATTTTATTCAATTAAACAACCAATATCCAGTCAGCATATTCTCAATGCTACATAGCCAGATGCAGGCTTGCCCAGTCAGTCAAACAGAGGATAAGGTCTCTACAAAACATAATATTTATTTTATAAGAGTGGAAACACAAAAAAAAAAAAACTTCTGGGGGGAATATAAAAGCTCGCTCTAATGGGGGGGGATCGTATATTTAACCCTTATTTTTTGTACAATAAAGAAAAAATTATCTCGAAAATTTTATTTTAAGTAGCATTTGTTAGCACGAGAGTGGTTGATTTTAGCAAGAGGTTTCACAAAAGATGGGCATGTCATATCATTTATTTATCAGTCTTATATTTTGTTAGATAGTTCGTCCAAACATTCACTCCTTAAAATTATGAGATATTTGACATCATCATTTCTTATAGAAAAACTCTTTAATGTTTGAAGAATCGCGACATAGTGATGACAAACATTATAAGGTTCTGAGATAAGTTTGATAGTAGAGTTAGAGTTAAAATAACACATCACGTCTTTGATATTAAGTTCTCAGAAAAATCATGATAAAGTGTCATCAACTCAACTCAACATGAAAGATGTTGGAATAATCAATATTGTCTGCAAAATTGTGAATTCAAGCAACATCACCATTTCGAATCAATCCACAAAAACCCAAGATGTCGGACTTACCAAAACTATTGTCATCAACATTTAAACTCATATTACTACTTGGATTAAATAAGTTTTTGGTTCGTTTAAATATCTGAAATTTTGTTTTTAGTCCCTCTAAATTTTTCCTTCAAAGAATGCTCCTCTTAAAAAATTAAGTTTTAACTTTTGGTCCCTCTTGACAAAATCGTAGCTAAAATGATCTTTAATTTCGTCGCTAAAATCGTCACTAAGTTGTAGAATCCGTCGCTAAATTGCAGGAGAGACCAAAAGTTATAATTTAATTTTTTATGAGGACCATTCTTTAAAGGAAAATTTTAGAGGGGCTAAAAACGAAATTTGAGATATTTAAAAGGACCAAAAACTTATTTAATCCTTATTACTTTTTTGTGTATTCCATGTGATCATTTCTGTTGGATGAAACATATAATGTTTAAGATGATATTTAGCCATATTAGCATAATTCATTATGACGAGTCTTAAAATATAAGATTTCATTCGTAAGACAAAATAATTTCTCTATTATTAAAACAAATAAAATAAATATTGATTTAATAATAAATAAATTAAATAATTATAATTGATTGTGGATGGCCTACTCTTTCTATCTCAAATTATAAGACCTTTTTTTTTACATTTTACACGAATTAAAAAGATGTAATTAATTGTATGACACAGAAAATTTATATATGATTTTACAAAATTGTCTTTTATTTATTCCACGTGAAAGAGAAATTTAATATTTATTTTATATGAAAGAGAAATTTATAAAATTTATAAGAAAAAAAGATAAGAAAAAAAGATAAATAATATAGTGTGTATTAAGAAATTAATATTACATTAAAATTATAAAATAACTTTAAAAAAATTTGAAAAGTAATTTATATCTTTTTTTTTGGAAAGTAGTTTGTAATGTAGGAGATACGGAATAATAATAATGTATAAAAACAACTATTTACGTTTTTTAATTTTATTAAAAATGTACATAAACAACTACTTACTATTTATGACAAATTACAATTGTAATTTTATTAATTTAAAATATCATACAAATATTAAAATTTTAATTATTTTATACTTTAGTTAATGTTTACATTTATATAATAAAATATTATTATTTTTAGTTGTGATTAATATTAAAACTTTTTTTAATATTATAGTAAATATTAATTAAAGTATGTATAAAAAACATTAATTAAAATATGAAAATAATTAAAACTATTCATCATATACAGTCAACACACTTAAAATTTTAAAATCTTTTTTAAAGTACACTTTCTGATCTTCTGCTGCCATTTCAGAGATCCGTATCAATACATCAAAGTTTAATCATCATCAATTAATTACAATTTTAAATTTAATACGAACATTTCTTCTTTTTTTTCATTATCAGTATAATCTGATTTAAAAGTCAGTTCTGACATTAAATGTTTTCAACTTCCTTCCTATCGCAGTTGCAGGAGATTAGTACGAACATTTCTAGATGAACAAATTTTATTTTTTGGGGAATTTATTTTAAATTGTTTTTATATTATTTTACATATTATAAGATTTTAAAGGTAAAAAGGTAAATTACTTTTAAAATCTCTCCCCATTTAATCCATTTTTAGACCAAACATATACTTAATTAAAACACATCTCCCTCTTCCCTTCCTTTCCTTTCCTACCCTCTTACCCTTTAATCAAACTATTTGTTATGAAACCACCTATAATGGTGGTCCATCCATATTAACCTCAACCTTGACAATACACAATACGTCAATGCCACAGTTTTCAAACATGTAAAGTAAGAAACAACCTTTCTAGTTAGTATTATGTTATAAAACAAAAATTACTAGTAAACTGTACCCTTAAAACTATAACTCAAAATAAAATACAAAAATGAACAAGGTTAAATTGCCGCCGCATCACCCCCAACATAGGCATTAGCAAAGGGCGCCGGCCAACTACGACTTATTTTCAGCTGTGCCATGAAATTTCCGTCCAGCTTCAACAGCTTCCCTATAAAAGATGAACACACAGTAAGATACATACAAACTAATTAGTTCAAATTAATGAATTGATCAACACTTTGTGTGATGACTTTGTTCGAAAATATGAACTTAGGAGCTTAAAGTAGAAAGAAAGTGATGAAGAGACTTAATGAAAATGGAATCTGCTCAATAAATTATTAGAGGACCTAAATCATAAAATAACTAAAAACTGCAATTAAGTCTAAATAAAATAATGTGAAAAGAAGACCTAAAAGCGTTTATAAGCTCCTTGTTCTCGGGATCAATTGTTACTCCTTCGTAAAAAGCATTTGCTGCTTCTTCAAATTTCTGCAACAAGGATAACAAAGTAAAGTTAAGCATCGCCAACCACGTCTTATGAAGCTAATGTCAAAGGGGAAAAGTTTGTGGACAACATGCCTGCAACAAACGCAAGGCTGCACCTTCCCTATAACAAGCTTTTGACCAATCTGGTCTTAATGCTCTGCAGGCCTTTGCATCAGCTAAAGCATGCTCAGCTTGACCTAGTCTCATCCAACAGAGACTTCTATTTGATAGCAACGTAGCATCACCGGGGTTCAGATCAATTGCCTGTGAAAAAACATTCAAAAGGAAAATAATAGAACTTCATAAGAAACACCATTGAGACATATAATATAACTAACATTGAGGCATGGTGCAAGAAAAGTACCCCAAAAACAAAAGTTACAGAACAGGACTAAGTTCAAGAGTTAAATGAGAGATCAAGATTTTACTTGTGTATAGGAATCTATAGCCGTATAATGGTCGTTCCTTTTAAAAGCCTCATCCCCTCTTGCTTTTGACTCTGCTGCTCTCTTTTTGGCTTCTGGTGACACCTAGATAAGTTTGCACACAATTATAATAGAAACCAATGTAAAAGCTGATACACATTAGCTAAGAAGACAAAAAAGTGATACTGGAGAAACAGAATCCTAAGAAGAAAGGACCCACTAAAATCTCTTTAAAAAGCCAAAAAACTTGGGGGAAACAATAAAGGTGAAGCAATACATAATTTAGAAATGAGAGAGAATGACTAAAAACAGACAGTCCTTTCGACTGAATATGCATAATTGAATTAGACTTGCATATTTCTTCAACATACATAATATTTTTGCAGATATTTTACATTTGATAGTACATCTGTAAGTCTGTAATAAAATTAATAAAACAAATACACCCAATTCACCTCGGGGATATATATTAAATAAAACACACATACCTCAGGGATATTTTGCTCTCGGGAAACATCATCCTTGTGCCCGTTACTTTCTTTACCATTCACCAATTCACCCTGCATATTGCACTTAATACTCAGTAAAAAGAACAAGAAAACCACTTTATCAGGCAACATACAAACAAGTATCAAAAAGCATTAGCCATCCATTTTTGAGCTTTAAGAAAGAGTGTAATATGGTCGAGATTTAGCACTAGCAGAAGCATATGAACTCGAAGAGTTTATTCCTTGTTGGAGGATGGAGTATATGCTGGCTGGCTTGTGCAGAAGATATTATATGTTCCTTTGGCCTTTTAATCTGAAGAACTACGGTAAAGTTGTAGACTTCCCTCTTATTTGTAACAAAACAAATGTAGAACTTGCTTACTTTTTGACAACCTATGGATCTACAAGGTAAATACTTTGTATTTTAAAACAATGCACCGAATATACCTAAACTAAGAGTAAGCATAATTATCTCATGTTCTTGTAGCAATCATATGCCTTAGCTCAGTCCAGCTGGACATAGAAACAAATTAGGAACATAGTACCTGCTGGTTTTTACTTTCTGATTGCATATACTCAAGTATCCCATCAATAGTCCAAGAAGGAACGGCATCAATTTTGGATGTAACGGGGAAGAAAATTTCAACTGCTCCACGATTACCCCTTGCAGCTGCAACCTGTATTGGCTTGACATCATCCTGTGATCCAAACAGATATATAATTTAGTTCCAAATGTTAATGGAAGGCGCGTTGTTTACCATACCATATGCATTGCAAGATAAAAAAGTGACTTTGATAATACTGAAAAATTGGAAAGATCTTGGAAACAAAAATACAAGTCGAGTTCTGATTCTGTATTCTTGGGTCCATTGGGTTCTTATATAACTGGACTCTTAGTATTGTTTGGTAGCCATTAACTTCTATACTAAACAGCAGAAGGTTATGAGTCAAACGATGAAGTTACAAAATCAAATTTGTCTCACCTCATCAGAGACATTAGGATCAGCTCCAGCTTTCAATAAGGAATTTATGAGTTCTAGACTCCCATTATCAGCTGCAATGTGCAAAGGAGTTGCTCCACCAGCACTAACATTTACTTTAGCACCTGCCTGTATACAATAAGATCCAACTGTAAGACTAGAAATGGAGTAGGACTTGAAAAACGTAGAGGAAAAAATCAAAAAGTAATAACCTTACCAACAAACTGACACAGATTCTTGAATGTGTGTCAACATATATATTAGAAACTTTACCTCCCTTGCATGTTTGATAACAACAAAAAAAAATCCCTCTAGATCTTATATTCACTAGGATAGCATAACAAACTTTTCACTGGCTAGATATTCAGTAAGTTGCTTAAATCCCACTCGCTAGTGCACTATTTACCAGTACATTTTTGTAATACCAGGCAAATATACTTCATACTAACTAATTGATATGCTTTTGGATATGTAACATGGAATGAAATTGCCAACTACATTGCATTAACATACATTAAGTTGTTCAGTTTTTAGGCTATTATTGCTCCTACAATACCTCACTCAAATGAAATCATTAACTGTGTAATTAATCATTATGAAGGATGTTGGTTACATATACAAATTCAAAATGTACGTCATTTATCCCACCATATCTACTGATAAATTACCTGCACTATACAAGCTAGTGTACCATTATAATTCTACACCACATATTAAGTGTTCTATTAATTGTTCCATGTTTCACATATCCAAATCATAAACATGGTAAATTGTTTTGCAAGCCTAGAAAGTCAGGGTTGACAAATTGAACAAGATGTGTAACCTGTATTAACAGCTCCAAGCATTCTAACGAACCAGCTGCCACAGAAGAAAGGAGTGGGGTAATGCCATCATCAGTTTCAGCATTAGGCTGCATAACAACATCAACAAGATGAAATGGTAAGTATTATATTTGTAATGCTATTACAATAGTGGTATTCTTTAAAATATCTCGGAAACTAAAATTGAAAATCTCATATGAACAAGGTATACTTATTAAAGGGCATTTGTTCAACCATACCATGTAGTAAGTATATAAGTAGTACACAAAAACAAAAATGCAAACTGGTAAAGAAACGTTTTCTAGAGTGCCAAATAAACAAGCTCTAAGACATTGTCTCATTGATACGTCATGCGTCTGGCAAGAAGAATAAATTAATCAATCCTTGTAAACTATTCAAGCAAATGCGTATCAAAACTAACAAGGTGTATAAATAAAGCTTATGTAGGTTGCTCTTATCGTTTCAAACGATAAATTCATTGATGTGAAAGTCAGAAACATTGTTGAAACCAGAGCATATTGATTATTGAAACGTGGTAAATGACTACTTCTTCATTAACCACAGATCCAAAAGGCAGGAAAAAGAAAGCAAATTTAGTAAGAAGAAACAGAAAAGAATATGCTAAGCGCTAACACCAATTGATGCTCCGCATATCCAACCAAATAGATATAAAATTTCAAATACTTGGAAAATCGAATTTCTGAAGGAAAAGCAGTCGAGCGTACTTCATAGCATTATCATAAAGTAACAATAAAAAAAATGGAATGAAGAATTACATTTGCACCATGTTTTAATAGAACAGTCACAGCAGCTTGTTGAGCATGACCAGCAGCCCAAACCAAAGGTGTTCCCGCATCACTTTCTAAGTCGGGATTAATTCCTTTGGACAGCAAATACTCAAGCAACTCAATATCTCCTGGAACAAACAGCACAGATTACAACCAAATCAGAAAACACATAAGTGAAATAAGGATAACAAACTTAACAACAGAATACTTTATTTTTTACAAAACTGCAGAAGAGATATAATGAAATGAAATAACTATTTGGATAAACAACTTAATTAAGGTTTTATAGCATTCACGTATATCGCACAAAAGCTTCTGTATAAGTTATTTCTATATAAAAAAAAGATAAATAAAGTGAATTTTTTTTCATACAATCTATAAGTTATTCTCATGAGCTACCTTTTGGATAAATAGTTTAATTGAGCGCTTATAGCATAAGTGCTTGTGCATAAATTATTTCTATAATAACAACATTCGAGCCTTATCTCATTAAGTGAGGTCAACTACATGAATCAAACTACGCCATAATGTTCCAAAAAAAAAACCATAGTTCTATCAAGTCATTAATCTCGAGATCTTTCTTAATAGTCCTCTTATAGTCAAACTGTTTTCATATAACCTAAAGTTGTTTTCGTACAATGCGATATCATGGAGAGCTTATTTAAATAATCTAAAAACAACTTATGATATATAACAACAACAACCAAGCCTTATCCCACTAAGTAAGGTCGGCTACATGGATCAACTTTCGCCATAATCTTCTATCAAGGACCATGTTTAATCTCGAAATCTTTCTTAATAAGTTCTCTTATAGTCTTTCTAAGTCTTCCTCTTCCTCTAGTTGTTTGACTTCTCTCCATCTAGTCTAATCTCCTAACCACAAAATCTCCGGGTAATAAATTGTTTTTTCAAGCTCTTCCAAACTGTCTTACAATTAAGCTCAAATAAATCAATCCAACCAGGTCATTGAACAAAATGAAAAAAGCCAAGAGAATCAGAAAAACCTATCCCAGCAGAATGATGCAACGCCGTAGCTCCTAAATTGCTAGCAATAGTAGGATCAGCACCACGGTCAATAAGATACTTAGCAGTGGCAGTATGTTCTTGGCGTGCAGCATGAATGAGAGCAGTTTCTCCATCATCATCTTTGGAATCAATTTCGAGCTTCAAATCCTCTAAAAGATACTTACAAATCTCAGTCTGTCCTTCAAGAGCAGCAAAATGAAGTGCTCCACGCTTGTTTGCATCTTTAATAGCTTCCACGGTTTTCGATAAATCTTTCCCTTCATCTAACTGTTCCGCAAATTCTAACGAACCAACATAGAATTAGGTTAATGAATAACGAGAACATGACGATGCCGATAAGGTTAATTGACTTACTCTTTAAGAGATCGAGATTTCCCGTTCGAGCCGCGTTGAGAAAGTGTTGAACTTTCTCTCTTACTGGTTGAATAATGGAAAGAGAAAACGGTTAAGGGAGAAAGAAGAGTGAATGAATGTTGAAGAATGGATTGAGAGAAAGAAAATTCACCTGAAAGTGCGTCGGAAGCATCGGGAGCCATTGGAGGAACAAGAAGGGTTTTGTGTGCAATGCAAATGTAAAACCCTGTTTTCGAGAATTACTATGGGATTTTTATTTAGAGAATTTCTTTTAACATTTAGTGCATTTCCTTTATATCTCTCGCGAAAATGCTAAAATACCCCAGATTTTGAATATGAGATTTTTATTTATATAATCAAACTTTAAACCAAAACAGCACACACTTCAAACCAAAATGCAATATTTCTAATACTATACATGTAAGTGGTCGATATGACCTAATCTATAATATAAGAAAAGTCATTCTACTTAAAAAATTTATTTTACCTTTTTGTTCTAAAAACACAACACGTGGATAGTATATTTGGAGTTTCAATTTGATATGTTACAATTTATTATATTCTTCTATGATTTCTGTTGTAATCTCCCTCTCCACCTTCTTTTAACTTCTCTCTCAAACTTCTCCTATTCATTATCTGTTTTATAATTGTTTCCATAATCAAATCAAATTCCTTCCCTTCTCTTTCACACAGCGACAATTATTTCTCCTTCTTCTCCGACGAGCGTCTCTCTCAACGACTCAGTCTCTTTCGCTCGTGATCTCTGCTTCAGTTCAGTTTTCCTTCTCGATTTTGTGTTCGGTTGATTGATGATTGTTGATGTGTGTGTGATGTTGTGACTGAAGAACCTTGATGATGATTGGGGATTGGAAGTCACTGCAAATAGAGTATGAAGAAGATGGAGGTTTGAAGGATGATGATGAAGATGACACAGTTCAGAGATAGCAGATTCATCTCTTCAAATTACAAACACCTTTATCACTTTCTCAAGGTTTGTTTCTATTCCCATCTCAGCAATAAAAATGTATGATTATGTGAGCAAATAGAATAATTGGGAAAGATTTTCGTTTTGTTGGTATTGATAATGAAAAGGAGATAATTTGTGGTTAGGGTTTTTATATTAGAATTGAGTTTCATGATTTTGAGTTATGATAGATAATTTTCTGGGTACCGTGATAGATTATATTGCAGCAGGTATGTCTGAGATTTGAAGTCGGAAAATATTGGAAACCAAGTCCATCTCATGCCTTATACAGATTCATCTATTCCACGTGAGTATTGTATAATTTTGTTTAGATTGTATTTTGGTATGTTTTGTATCATCTTTATATATTGGCTCATCCTTGTGAAACTTTTTTTATAGGCATCACACTAAATTAATGATGGACTTCATTCGATTAATAATTTAAAGTTTGGTTCACCTCACTAGCTGAGCTCACAAATGAGCCTTTTGCTGAAGAAGGCATATAAGTAGGATCTCCCTCACTATTTAACAAAGTGACAGATCCTTCGACAAGAATGGGAGCCTGTTTAGAAGTGCCAGCAGTATCCTGAAGATTAAAAAAAATTGTTCTCAAAATTATTATGGAAAAAAAGGGCTAGTTCAGAAAATAAGCAGAGTCTGTCGAAGTAAATACCTGAGGAGGAATTTCGGCGCTGGGACTTGAGTTGTCACTCTCACTAGGATTATTCAGCCTAGCAGCCACCTCTTGCTCAGTGGGATCTCTAATGATTACAGGAGGAGGCCTCGATTTGGTAGTTGCAATCTTGATTTTTGTCTTTGGGCGAGGCTCGGGTATAGGAGTTGGTTTCTTTAATTTTTGTCTCTTAAGAGGAACAGGAGGAGATTCCTCTTCTTCATCACTAGAGATTTCAATCTCCTGAACCTTTCGTTTCTTGGGAGTGGTTTTCTGAACACCCAAAAAAATAAGAGTCGGAGGAATCAACATCTATACCAGAAAATAGTGAAGGAGAAAGGTATAGCAAAAGTGAGTACCTTTGGTGAAGGGTTCACAAGAGGGTCTCCCCCTTTGGTGCTTTCAGCAGCCTTTTTGGTGTTGGTCCTCTTGACAGCTATACAAGAAACAAATATAAGTTGGATGTCGAATGATTGAATATAAGACAAAGAGACAAAAGGGGAAAAGTATTACCTTTCTTGATCTTGTCAAAGACCAGCTTGAACGCCTCGCGAAGGTGGTTGGCAAAATCCTTCTCGTCGAAGAATTCTTTGTTGTAATATTGCCTCCACCACCCCTCAAAAATGGGCGAACACATAAAATTAAGATTAAAGTCGAACAAAGTTAGTACGATTCGACCAACGTACCTACCAATGTGCTTGGTAGCAGCATCCTCTGAGTAATCTGCGTTATAAAACAATAGCAGCTTCTCTCGAGAGTAGATGGGAGACGGAAGTGACTGAACAATATCGAACTCTCGAGAGACAAGATTCAGTTGGTAAGCAATCAAACTCAGTTGATTCTTCGAACTTTTGAATCTCAGCGGTATGATTCTGGGTAGAAGAAACGACTCCCAAATAGCCACATATTCGTCTTATAGGTCTTCCTCATCAGCCGAAGGAAATGGTCGAGTGAACCATTCTGGACCAACTTTTCAACTGGAGAAGGGAGCCATGGTCGAAACAAAAGTTTAACGCTCTGCAAACATCATCACAAAGCCGGTGAAGGCTTTTTGAAATTGCTGACCCTCATCAGTCAGAGTCAACAAGACTAACCTGGTACCTTCGACCCTCCTATTTAGAATTTCTAGGGCCTCTTCATTTATCTTATTCTTTTGAGGAAGAAAAGATTCAAAAGTGGCATTGAGCCAGAGTTGAAGAAGCCAAAAGGGGCCAGAGAGGAGCAAGCTTGCCCTGTCTTCAATGACTTTGAGTTGAGTCACACCATTGCTGATGGACTCATACAGGTTGGCCAAGATCAACTCAGTCAAACAGAGAGGGTAACCATGGTGAAATTGTGTTGCAAGCGTAAGCATCTTCTTAGTCACTTGAACTGACTTAGTACAAAAGACGAAGCGAGATAGCCACATAGCTAAGAAGGCTATATGTTCCACCTCCGACACAGTGCTGCAAGATTTATAATGAAAATGATTGATAAATGTGATATATGTGGGCTTCGTGGCTCAAAACCCAATGGCATCCTCAAATAAATCTTCTAGGTCGAAGTAATCACCAGTTGGTCGAAGACCGGTAATTGTTGTTATGTCAAAAAGGGTCGGGGTCACCATTCCACAAGGAAGATGAAATGTGAAATGGGTGTTGTCCCAGAAGTATAATGAAGACACTAACATGAGAGGGAAGTAAGATAACCCTGTCTTCGACAGCATCACCAGGTCATAGATCCTCATTTCTTTCCAGATTGGGGTTTGTACCTTCTCCATTTTGTTCAGCCAGTCTGAATATTCTGAAGAAAGGCTAGGACACGATCGAAAGATCCTATTCCCTTTATTCATGAACTGAAGATTAATATCTTTCTTTATCTGAGCATGTTGTTGATTGGATGGGGTTGCATCCTCTGGATCATTCCTGGGTTTCTTTGCACAGCCTATAGGCTTAAGCCTAGGGTGAGTCGGGAAGAAAGCACTTTTTTGTGGGATTTTCAATGCATGCAGACAAAGGGTCAGACATGGCATATATATCCCCAGAATACCTGATGGGGATGAGGAGCTGGGAGTTGTACGCTTCGCGCCTTTCTTTAGTCATAGGTTCGGAGACGAACCTTAGCTCCTCAATCAAAGCAGGAGGAGAACTTATGGGAAAAATCTCTGGTTGACGTTGTACGTCAGAAACATTCTTGGGCTTAGGGTTGTTTGGAGCATTAGAGAGGAAGGCCATTGTTGTGAGTTGGTGAGGAACGAAGATGATAAAATCACTAAGGTATAAGGTATTTTTCTGCAGAAAAGATGAAGAATGCTAAGTGTTGTGAAAGTTCCCAAAAGAGAGAGCTCAAGGCTATTTATAATGCTCAGGGAGAAGTGTTTCTCGTCAAGGTCATTTAATGATATAGACGTAGAGGGGCCATGCCAAGCAGTGAAGCAGTTACCATACATGTGATGGAGAATGTTTGACATGCTTGCCTAGGTTCTAGGAGTAATGTCCATCATGGCAGCATGGTAACGGCTGATTGAAACAACGTCTCGGGAAAAGAGTAATGATGATTCTAAATGTGGCAGCTGTTGGAAGGCGAAAAGTACACGTTAAGCCTTTGTGGACAAAAAAGAGGCAGGTGTCGAATAGGAATATCAAAGAATGACTATTTCTCTCGACGTCGAAATAGACATTCTTGGGGGGAAATTTGTTGGCTCTTAAATTCGACACCCACGATAAATTAGCCTTATGGGCCAAATATAGAGCAAATGAAGCCAAGCTGGAAAATGCTTCGACGCACAGAAAAAACTTAGAGAAATATCTAAGTTACAAATTGGTCTTAGACCAGACATCTCCATCAAGCCTTCGACTGAAAAGGTCATGTGACCTCCGACTAGAAGAACAACCCTCGTGTCAGCATTACAGGTGAAGGATATTTGAATTTGAAGAAGGGAGAGAAATGCAGTTCGCCTAGCAGTTAAGGGAAAGCGACGTGGCAGGAAGATAGAGTTCGAGGGGCATGTAGAGGACACTTGTATTCATCCTAGAGCAAGACAACCCCTCGACAGTTACATAATTTTAGTATAAATATAGGAAGTTTGTGGAGATTTTCTGTGTGTTCAATCTATTGTACTAATCACTCAACATTATTCAAGCACCCACTATGTGTGAAAGAATAACTGAGAATGTACGTTGGAAACACCACCTTTTATTAATCAAATATTTTACATTGCTTTGATCTTCTTTTTCAAAGTTTACGTTTCCTGCATTTCTATTTGCTTTCCAAAACCACAAACACCAACTCCCCGATCAAACATGTGTTCTTCCTAGATATTAACTTTTACATCAAACCAGCACAAAAATTAGCACATGTTTTGGGATCAATCTAACCAATCCCGCGAGTAACCAAAAGGGCTTTCCTTTTTGGAGGATCAACGGTTGTTTACCAGAAACCACGGTAAACAATTTGGCTCTTAAATTCGACACCCACGATAAATTGGCCTTATGGGCCAAATATAAAGCAAATGAAGCCAAGCTGGAAAATTCTTCGACGCATGGAAAAAACTTAGAGAAATATCT